CGGCCTACAAATATTAATAAAATCTAAAATCTAAATCTAAAAAATTTAAACCTTGATGAAGTCTGCAAAATTTAAGAAGCTTAACAATTACAACATTATTTGCAAGTGAGTTCTTAAATATAATTATTAGGTGTAAAGCTAAGAATATTATAAAGTTAAAGGCCCTCTTATAATAAAATCTTTTTTCTATGCACTTTGTTAGAAGCTTTAAAAATCCTCTAAAAATAATTCCGTGTGGCACAGAGCACCATCATCTGGTAGTTTCCGTTATTCCACTTGAAAATGTCCATCAGCTAAACAGTATGAAGAAAAATAATTGCATTGTATGATTCAACATGAAATGCTAAGGTTTCTAATGGAGCTCTAATGACAAATGAGAACTTCCTAATTATCTGACTTTCCTGTTTCATCTTTCTTCTTATTTTACTTAACTGTTTGTAATTAACGTACTGAAACATATTGATTTACGAAAAACTCCTTCCCTGGAGTTTGGAATGATGATTATCTTTGCATATCTTCCTTATGGACTTGCAGAAGGAATTTCTCTCTCAGGTAAGTTGCAAAACAAATTCCCCTGAAGTTATTGACAGTGCTAAAACAGCTTTCACTTCTCTAGAGTTCTCAGACTGTCCAAACTTTTGTCTCTCTCTGTGTCTGTGTGTGTGTGTGTGTGTCTGTGTGTGTGTGTGTGTATTTCCATTCATTTACTTGGACTTCAGTGAGGCATTTGCAGACAATGACCTATTACTAGTTAGAATAGAAAAATGTGGGTTAGGTAGCATCACCACCAGATGGATTCGTAACTGGCTGACATGGAGGGAAGTATACAGGGGAGTAGCCCAAGGTTCTATTTTAGGCCTAGTACTCTTCAACATCTTCATCAATGATTTGGACGAGGTGATAGATGGGGAACTCATCAAATTTGCAATCTATGAAGGCTGTTACTACAGAGAAGTGGATGATTTATCCTTCCAGTTGTTCTATTTTCTCACATTTAGATTAACTCCTTACTGTACATCCAAAAAGAGATTTTGCCAATTTGGAGTTTGGTGAATCACTATTTCAAATCAATATGTAATGTTCCCTGTCTATTATGGTAAAGTTTATAGGTTATAGGTGCTAATTAAGCACAACCTATAAACTAAGATTTGCTTAGTTTTGGCTTAAAAATAATTATGGTTTTTTATAGAACCATGGAAAATATACTCTTAAGTCATTTAGTTCTATTCGATGGTCAGAATAGGAATACATTAAATCATTCCAACAGATGGCTATCTAACTACTATGTGAAAACCTCCAGCAAAAAGGATTTATTACTGTTCTAGGCAAGTTGTTCCACTGCTTAAAAACTTAACAACAACAACTTAACAACATTAGGACATCCCTTGTGATATTTCTTCAGAATATCTTTAAATTTCCACAATCTGATTATTAGTTTTAACAGAAAATAGATGTCCCTGGTTATAGGTATTTGTAGACCTTATCATGTTATTAGTCTTTTCTTTGGCATCCAGACCTTCTATCATCCTAGAACATTCCCCTTTAATTTGCTTCAGTTTTGCTACATCCTGGTACACTACCCAGAACTGGACATAATTTATTAAATGAAGAATAATTAGAATAAAATCCAGTTTAGTTCTTGTGATTTGGACACAATGTTTATTTTAATATAATTCAAGATTATGTTAGCCTTTTAGGTGCTATGTTCAGTTGATAGTCCAAAAGTATTCCTAGATCCTTCTGACACACATTACCACCAATTTAATCGGTACTTGACTTTTTATATGCACATGGAGGATCTTGTTTTTCTCACAGATGAGCATTTTTCCATTGATTATGGTTCAGTTTTTATTTTCATAGAGGTTGTTTCGAATTGCAGTTTTGATTTGTAAGATATTAACCAATTATCCTAGCTTGGTATCATCTAAACATTTGAGAAGCAGTTCTTCTGTATCCTACAAAGATGTTAATTGGGCCAAAGACATAATCCTGGTGAGACTTTATTCATACTTTTCTTCGGGATAATGCAGAACTAGTTGAAGCAGCTTTTTAAAGTAATAGTTTATGGTTTAGTTTGAAGCCTGAATCCAGGTAGTATACCGGTCAGAAAACTACACCCAATCCAAGACAATGTTGGGTTTGTTTATTTAAGAGCTCTTTCCAGGCCTCCCATACAGGATATTTTCTTGTGATCACCTGAGTCATTAGTCTTCTCTAGAATAGTGTTCCCCTAGAGATTAAATTGACACTGACCTTCGCATTTTCCCTAAAACAGTTAAGATTTGTGTTTTTTAGGTAGCCCTGGCATCTAATGTGTTGAATTTGTCCTTCCTGCAGAGAAAAGTTGTTTTTAATCTTACTATTGAATTCAGGCATGAAAGCTGTTCAGAGCCAGTTTGCAATTGAAGCAGCATAAAAGCCTGGAAACTAAAATAAAATAAAATTGTACTAAGCTTGGATTTAAAGATACTGTTCAGTCATAGATTAAAGAAAGAAAAGCCTGGAAGTTAGTGAGAATCCGGGTACATAAATCTTTTGCACTGCACTGTATTTGGTTAGGATTTTTGTATTTTTGTAGTTGGAATGTTTACTTCAGAAATGTACGCAGGTAGAAAAATAGGTAGTTGCTTTAATTGGATACACTACTATAGCAGTATATCAAACATTTTGAACTAGAAATGAAGAAAAGCGATCTGGAAAGTGTATCAAATTGCTTGGACTGGAAGAGGAGAAAAGGAAGAAGATGACAATTTTGAAGGACAAAAGTTTTCTCACAATTAGAAACAACCTCTTTTGCACAGAATGCTAGTGTTGTTATTTTAGTAACATACACTGTACATTATTTTAGAGTCTGTGATAATAGGCACAGGCTTCTACAAAGGTTTAGTGATGTTGTGATTTGGCCTTGGTTAAAAGAGATTTATGATGATACTTTATAGAGAGCAAGATTTTACAATTAACTGTTTGTGTTTACGCTTTGAAGCATTCTTATGTATCTGCAGGTGCAAGGAGAACTTGGTCCCAAATATGCCTCTCCCTAAATGCACCATGCCTCTCATTAATCTCAAACATCTCACAGAGTGAAACATATGTGGTCCTGCAAGTAGCTGTTTGTCCCTTGCTTTTCTAGTTGCTGCTGTATCATTGGTTAAGAAACACCATGGGCTCTTAATGACAACTGTAAAGTCTAAGCATATTTGTATGACTGCTGATTTTACCACAAAGCATCTGTTTTGATAGCTATAATCACTTTTGTCCAATTCTGATAGCACTTGCAACTTTGTGTATGCAACTCAGTGGATTTTACAGCTGTTCTCTAGTTCTGAAGTAACCTCTGGGGAGCCAATGCTTGTTTTTGTTTTTGTTTGGTTTTTTTATAGCCGTTTCATTCCAAATAACATCTTGGGTATTGTAATGGAACTAGTAATTAAAATTCTGGAGCACTTTCACTAATAGGATCATAATCATTCAATGGAATATTAGATTTAAATGGGATAAAATGAATTATGTAATGCAGCAACTAAAAGGATTATGATGAGTTTGAGGTTCACTGAATCTGTCAGCTGTTATCAGATCACTGTTGTATTCCCATTTTGCAACTGCTTTGCCATCTCTCTTTATTGGTATAATATCAAATACAACTTCTTCATTTTCTATGCATGAAACTTGTTTTTGTACTCTGGGAATAAACAAACAGCAGTGTCAAATGACATCCAGTTGGGATCTGGTAGTATGATCCATATGATACTGGTTCCATGGAATCTCCATTCAGTCTCTATAGCTTTGGAGTAGCTTGAATATTTTCTTCTAGCCCTGAACAGAATGTATAGGAAATACATGTGAAGTAAAGTAGTAGCTTTAGATCATTTCCCTCAATAAATCAAGTATAAGGTTTTGAATTATTTCTTTAATTGAGTTCTCTATCTAGTTTTAGGACTTGTGTGGAGAACAGATCAGTTTTCAGGTTATATTTTTATAGCAATAGCACTGAGACTTATATACCACCTCATAGTGCTCTACTGCACTCTCTGAGCAGTTTACCATGTCAACCTATTGCCCCCAACAATCTCGGTCCTCATTTGGCAACCTCAGAAAGATGGAGAGCTGAGTCAACCTTGAACCTATGAGAATTGAACTCCAGATTGTGGGCAGAATTAGCCTACAATACTGCAGTCTAACCAGTGCATCACCAGATCTCTTGCATATTGATGCAGAAATATTGAAACTTTTAAAGGTTTCCTGAACTATTAAGCTCTACTGTATCAGAAAGATCCAATTATTCAGTGTGTTAGAATAATAGTAGCAATAGCAATAGCAGTAGACTTATATACCGCTTCATAGGCCTTTCAGGCCTCTCTAAGCGGTTTACAGAGAGTCAGCATATTGCCTCCATCAACCTGGGTCCTCATTTTACCTACCTCGGAAGGGTGGTAGG